ATACACAGACTGTCTCCTCACATTCACAGAATGCATTACAACAAACCACTTCCAAGTTGTCCTGCAAAACATACTGGTGATAAATGCAACCATAATGAGGCATTTAGACTGGAAGTTTGAGGATGATTTAAAACAACACAGAGCCCAAGGAGCCTTGCTGGTATCTTTTACAAGTGCTGTATCCAAAAAAATGCTTTGTTTTATCAGACTCAAAAGACAAGACCCATTTCACTTCAAGGCTGAAGAAAAGGCATCTGCCTTGCCTCTGGTCAGCACAGAGGGACCCCAGCCAGGAAAAAACCCAGTTTGAGCTCAAAAATGAGCATCTGCTGCAGCCACCGCTAAAACAACAGCAACTTACCTGCAAGGGGAACTGCACAAAGCTGCTCCATGAACATCACTGCTGCTTCAGCTCTGCAGTCAATCCTGCTATTGGTTTCCTCTGCCTCCAGCTCAGGTGCAGACATGCAGGTGAAAACGTGAGGTGCTTCTTTTTAAACCTCTCCCCCTGCGCTGCTGACTGTGTAATGCCCATGTGGGTCTACAAATGCACAAAGGTTTCCATCCTTTCTAAAATCAAAGTGTCAGTTTTGCTGCTGTCAGAGCACTTATTTTTGTACATATAAGGAAGTGGCTGTTGATGTTATCTGAATGTACTTCCTGTTTTATATGTATATGAGCAAAAATAATGTCACGTTAAGCTAAAGTGCAGACTCAAAGAGCTCAAGTCAAAGCCTTGAAGCAAAATAATATGCGTGCAGCTCATCTGTTCGCTGTCTACCCCAGTTTGCATTCACTTGGCTGATCTTTATCACAATTTCGTACACTCACAATAAAACTACCGCCCCAAACCCCTGCAAAAACAGCAACCGTGCCCTGCACTAACACCGCTTTCTACCAAGACTTCCAGGATCAGTTGATTTACAATGGGCTTGTGTAAGTGCTGACAGACCAAACTCAAACATCACATTGGTAAAAACATGGCTGGAGTCAAGCAATGCCACGAGGCAACTTGGGCTGAAACTGGCATATTTTTTAAGTGACTAGATATTGATATATTTTTTAATTTTTTTTTAAACAAGGAAGGATGATTTTCTGTGGTTTTTGTTGCACAAACAGTCCAGGAAGCAGCCGTGTAGGAGTGCACATTCCAGAGCTGATGCTACACAGCCCAACACTGAAGGAATCTCTCTAATTGGAATTTAATGATTTGCTGGTTATTTTCAAGAGCAAACAAATGTACTAACAAAAAATAAAACTCATTTTGAAGTAGAAACTACTCTACTTTTCGGGACTTTAACAGGCTTGAGAGGTGAACCTCAGTGAGTTCAACAAGGCCAGCAGGTAGAGGGAGGGGATTCTCCCCCTACGCTCCTCTCTGGTGACACCCCCATTTCAGTCCTGCATCCAGCTCTGGGGCCCCAACATAAGAAGGATGTGGAGCAGTTGGAGTGAGTCCAGATGAGGCAATGAAAATGCTCCAAGGCTGGAGCACCTCTGCTATGGAGGCAGGCTGAGAGAGCTGGGCTTGTTCAGCCTGGAGAAGGCTCTGGGGAGACCTCAGAGCAGCTTCCAGTGCCTAAAGGGACTGACAAGAATCACAGAATAGTTAGGGTCAGAAAGGACCTTAAGATCATCAAGTTCCAAGCCCCCTGACATGGGCAGGGACATCTCACACCAAACCACGCCACCCAAGCCTCTGTCCAACCTGGTCTTGAACACTGCCAGGGATGGAGCATTCACAGCTGAATGAAAGAAAGTTGGAAAGGGGCTTCTGACAAAAGCCTGTAGGGAAAGGACAAGGGGGGGTGGCTTTAAACTGACCGAGAGGAGACTGAGACGACATCTTAGGAAGAAGTTCTTAGTAAGATCTTAGGAAGGTAGCGAGGCCCTGGCACAGAGAAGCTGTGAATGCCCTATCCCTGGAATGCTTCAAAGTACTGGAGCTTAACAGGCATGTGGGTGGCAGCAAGTCAAAAGTACCTAGCTTTAAAGAAAAAGAAACTGCTACCTTCTTGGATCCCAAACACATGTTCATCAGCAGGAAGCACTGCAGGAGTCCCCAGGGCAATCTGATGTGCCTGGGAGCCTCCCACCAAGCAGGGTGGCAGAGGTGGCACCTGGGGGACAGTGGCACACAAAATGATGTGAAAATGCTGCCCTTAATCCTCACTGCGACAGCCAGCAGAGCAGGATGAGACAGAGAAAAGGGAGAATAACAGAGAAAGGAAACATGCACTGCAAAGCAAAACCTCAAAAATCTGCCAGCACAGCAAAAAGCCCTTGGGGGAAGCCCCGGTGTGGTTGCTCCCTTCCTACAGTGGATCAGTGACACAGCAGCATCAACCAGCACCGCACAGGGTAAAGGGATAATACATGGCACACTGAACAACTATGTACTCTTGTTTTGCTGTAAGAGGGAGCTTATTATGACAGATATGCAGTGTTCCTCAAATTGAGGTTACTTTCATGGTTTTGGGGGGCTCCTATTTACTGGAGTGGGCTCACCCCAGCCCAGAGAGGCTCCAATCCACAGCAGGAGGCGTGTCTGGAACCAGCAGGACTTGATCTTTTCTTAGCAAAATTCAGGTAATATCCCAAGTACAAAAGCAAGCTCTGCACGTGTACAGTGCAAAAACTGCCACCCACAGGTTCAGAGAAGCAAAAGACTGTATTTTAGATAAGAGTATGCAAAGAAACATATGCCCATGTTCCTGCCCTCCCCCCTCCAAAGCAACATCCAAGCATCTTGTGTGACACAGCTGAAGGTAGTATCAGAATCTGTGCACACAGGTTTCAGTAGGACAGGGTATTGTCATCATCCTGTAATACCCCATAAAAACAAAAGGCTGCTCTTCTCCTCTTGTTGGGGTTATAAGTACAATGTACTTGCTTGTACTTTGGTGTTGCACAAACTGCTTAAAAAACCCTCCCATATCAAAACCTTTTAAAGAGCAAAGTACCAGGGCACTTATTTATGCCTTTGAAAGTTCTTTTGTGTAATTTAGGTAAGAAAATTATGTTCTTGCATGAAGCTGCTGATTTTTAGCTGAAGAAGCTTTAGGTTTTTTTGTTTTGGGTTTGTTTTTTTTTGTTGTTGTTGTCTGGTTTGTGATTTTTTTTTAATAAACAAGCAAAATTCTAAGGGTAAAACACATGCCATTGGCAAAGACATCACTTACATAAACCAGAACAGATTTCTAGAGGAAGAGCTTATCACAGATCGAAGATGACTCAGGATTTAGAAGTAAACTGATCTGGTTTAGGAAAAGAGTAAAGGAGTCTGCTTTAAGTCCTACAGATCTTGACATCCTGCAGATAATAACCAATTAATATAACAGGAGGTAAAACCAGTGAGGCTGCCCCTTCATCAGGGACCAGTGGGGTGTCCAAGGCAGTGTGCTACAACCCACGCCAAGCAATCTATGCAATCTGCACAGAGACACAGCGTGCAGGCATATGATAAGAAGTTATTCTGCATAATGAAAGATTAAACCAGACTGCAAAGAACGGCAAGAGGATCTCACACACCTCCTGAAAGGGCGCAAACCAGCAGGTGTAACTCGGAAGATACAAGGCAACATGATGACCAAAAGGAAGAACAACTCAAACTGCTGTTCTTGTGAGACGCCCCCCTGAAGTCCTGCATCCAGCTCTGGGGCCCCAAAAATAAGGAGGATGTGGAACTGCTAGAGCAAGTCCAAAAGAGGCCATGAAGAGATCACTAGGTGGGGTCTGAGCCACATGAGCTTCATGCACCCATACAATGAGAGTACATTCTCATTCAGTGACTCCCCACTGCACACCTTTGCACCAATGGAAGGATTTTGGCAGACCCTACCTGTTACTGTCTTTAACAACTTCAGAAAACCTCTCATGCACTTCCACGCAGGTATCCTGTTGCATGGGAAATAAGTTTTAAATCGTGTTTTATTTCAGCCAGGAAATTCTGTACTTGACTGAGGAGAAAAGGAAAAGATTGGATTGAAGGGTAAAGATACAGCACCAGGAGCTGCACGAGCAGCTGTCCAGGAAGACCCAGAGCTGTGGTCTGCTACCTCTGCCCAAAGGGAGGGCTTCCTCACATTTTACTATGGCTTTTTTATTAATTCAACTCCGAGCATCTAAGCAGACAAGCAGATACCAGAGCACGGAACTCAGTTTATTACTAATACAGGGAGTAAATATTATAACTCATTGGCTAGAGCTGCTGGTTTCCACTGTTCCTGAAGCAGCACGACAGCATGATGTGGCAGTATCTGAAAAGATCCATTGCCTTCTCAGGGTGGTAAAGGCACCAGGATTCAACACAGAGAACGAAATCCATTATTCCCTCTGCTTGGTACTTCTGTAGAAAATCCAGAACCTAGATATCCTAGAGCCATCACTGAATCGTCAACTTCAGCAATCACTAAGATAAAGTAGTGGAGGAAAAAAATCAACAGTTTATCAGCTAAGGTGTAAACAATTTCATGTTTAACAGTACTGAATACCTAAATATTTCTGGGTTTATGAGGGAAAGGAGTCCAAAAAGACAGAAGAAAACAGCACAGCAGCTCCATCCCAAATCTTACAGGACGCATCAGTCCACATGCTTTAACCTCAGAGATTATGCACTCATTCCTGGTCAGTGTTCCACCCAAAGGCATCAAAAGAGGCCAGAAGTAAGAGGTAGACTTTTCTTGGGAAAGCTGGTGGATGGCAGAGAAAAGCTGGGAAAAAAACAGATTCCCTGTTCCTGGGTGTGCAGCACAGTAGTCTGTGACTTGTATCAAGGCCTTAAACACACTTGATTTACAGACACCTCCCTTTTGGTGCCCACAACAGTAAATCAACACTTGGATCAATTCAGGAACACCAATGGTAACAGCAGATTTTAGGCTGTTAACTCATTAACAGCCCATCTTTATAAAGCAACAGATGAGATGGATAAAAACCTCCAAGTCCTTCACAGACACGGACCATGTTAAAAAATCATCGCTCCTGAAAAAGAAAATTACCTTTCCGTTTCCATCTGCTTTTCTTCCCATCTTTGTTACTGCACCCATCACTGCTGCTGCTGCTGTTCTCGGAGCTCTGAGAGTCAGACTGGGCATCACTGCTCTCCTCTGAGCCATCTGAGAGCTCCTTCAACCCATCAGGAACATCCTTCTGCAAATGGAAGAAACAGACATAGTTACCCACTCCACCATAAACTCTCCAAATTAACAAAATTCTTAACAGTAGCAGTTTCCTTTATTTACCCAGCACTGATTATGGATTTTTCTACACTTCAGAGCAATATCAGAACAGCTCAGCCACTGCCCTCAAACATGCACCTGTCTGCTGTGAGCCTGTATGAAATACTTAACCCAGGCCAAGCTGGCACATCTTTTACACCACCCTTGTCACCTCTTTCCCAGGTACACTCTTCCTTAACTCATTCTCCATCCCCAATCCCTAATTCCAGTATGATCCCACTTTATGAGAAATTCAGACAATTTTTGAACTTGTGACAGGAAAACAGCCGGACAGCTCAGTGCCTCATAGTCCCCATTATGGTCACCAGTAAGGTTTCTGCAGCCAGGTCCACAGCAGCCCCTGCCCTGCTGACACAGGTCCTTTCAGAACTGTGCCTGGCTGGTGTTTCTGTGTAGTGAGACATTTGCACTGGCACAGACAGTGGGTTCACCTGCAGGGTTTTAGGCTGGTAATCGCCAGCAGGGAGAAGCAGCAGCTTTCGCCCTGTTAACACCTAAACCCAGACTGCCCTCTAGTGATCCATAGGGCCATAAAATCAAAGCACGGTTTGCGTTGGAAAGGACTTCAAAGCTCTAGCTCCAAACCGCCTGCCACAGGGCAGGGGCACCTTTCACTAGACCAGGTTGCTCCAAGCACTGTTCAGCCTGGTGAGGGATGGGGCAGCCACAGCTTCTCTGGGCAACCTGTGCCAGGGCCTCACCACCCTCACAGGGAAGAACTTCTGCCTAAGAGCTCACCTCAGTCTCCCCTCTGTCAGGTTAAAGCCATTCCCCCTTGTCCTATCTCTACAGGCCCTTGACAATAGCCCCTCCCCAGCTTTCTTGTCAGCCCACCTCAGCACTGCTGCTCCAAGGTCTACCCAGAGCCACCTTACTATTACTGCCAGGCTGAGATTTTAACCTACATTGGAAATCAGTGCTAATTAGCAACAACAGACTGTTTGCTGCTGCTGTGGTCTTCAGCTGTGGTCATTAATGCTGCCACTCTCCAAACACCTAAACCAGCTCTGGACACCTTGCAGTGGTGCTGAGCCAAGCCAGGCAGGACAGCAGGCAGAGGCATCAGTCCATTCCCACCCAGCATGGCCACCTGCATCCCCCTCTGCTCTGCTTCCATCCCACCACCTCAGTGAGTCACATGTCAAAGCTGAAACTGTACTGTCATCCTCAACTCCTGTTAATAAATTAACTGAAGCTTAAATGTCTACTGTATAAGCAAACAGGATAGTGGCCATAACAGCTGGACAAGTAGACAAGTCCGCGTGCATCAGGTGGGCAAAATCCTTCTGTTAATACCCACTGGCAGAAGCAAATCAAAACACTTCTCTATTTAACTGGAGACAGTTGATTTCTTGTTCTTTCTCTGAAATTAGAGCTGAGTAATTTCCACATGTAAGGCCAAAGAGTATGCAAGACAATACAAGCGTTAACAATGTAATTGACTCCAGATTTCTTCCATTAGCACAGTGAACTACAGATTCAGATAATCAAGAAAGAAAGCAAGCAAGAGGCAACAGGCACATACTGAAACACATACATTCCACTTCCACATAAGGAGAATCTTCTCTACTACAAAAATGATGAAACACTGGAACAGTGAGGCTGAAGGTTTTCATCCTTGAAGGAATTTAAAACCAGACAGACAGGGTCCTGAGATACCCACTGCAGCTGACTCCGTACTAAACAGGCAGGTTAGACCAGATGATTCCTCAAAGTTCTCTTTTCAGGGAAATTCTTAGTTGATTCCATTGGTAATCTAACTGGTACTTGTAAAACCCAGTTTCTCGTATGTTTTGAACGTTTTAGGATGAGATGAATCTCATGTTCTCTCTATTGAGCATGGAAAGAAATGAGGAGAGCAGTTCCAGTGGAGACACCTGCATGAAACAGGTCTACATGTAGGGAGGGGAATGCTACGTGCTCTGACGGCACAGTCTTCAGAGTCAAACCTAGAGAAAGTCAGGAACAGTGAGAGCAGGCTTCCTCCTAACAGTTTAACTGGGGTAAAAGGTTTCAAATGAATGTTATTGTTAAAGATGCCAATTGGACAAATCAAGGAATACACACTTTCTCTCAACAGATGCTCTCCAACTACTATTAGCAGACTGAGGAAAGGTAATTGTTCATTTCTAGCTGCAGGCTGAGACCAGTAGAGATGAAGTTACCCTTTTAGGGCTAAAATTCCATTAAAGTTTTAATTACTCTTTCATTTCTGGGATAATAATATCAGCAACCATGAATAAAAACTAGCACCTCCAGTTGTATATCCAGCACCCACGTGCTCACTAGCAAGCAGGAAGCCTTAGTGTTTGCTTTCACAGGGAAAATTTATGCTACAATTCATGCCAATGAGGAATAGTCCCCTCTTCAGGATTATCCTAATCCAGCATTTTTAAATGGATAAAAGTGAGCTGCACATTCAAATGAGGTTCCCCCCAAGCCACTTACCTTCAAAGTGTACACTCCCATGCGCCCTGGGACCTTATAGAAAATGCCCTCTTCCCCTCGGGAGTTTGTGTGTAACATGGCATTCAGGCAGGCAAGAGGAGAAGTCCCACTGAAAACAAAACCAAGAGATTAACGTTTGAATATATCTGCTTGGTGTTAAGCTTCTGCTGGGAGACAACCGCAGCCCCTCACCGGACCATCACACATGCAGAGGCAAAAAGAGCACAGATCCAACTTCTATTCCCAAGCAGAATACAAGCTGAAGCTGTGGTAAATAAGCAACAACGAAACCACTTCACATACCCATGCTCCAGTCAAGGGAAAAAAGCAAACAAAAAAGCCCCCGAGTTCAGGCTCTCCAATACTTCTTTGCCAAACATCAGAATGATCCCGCATTTTTGAAGCTCTAGGTACTCAATGCTGCCCATCTGAAACTCTGAGCAGGTTTGTTGTGAGCTAATGATTGACTGCAGACATATTTAAAGTTGTGTTGTTTTCAAAAAACAACCCCAAACCCTGTGTCATACTGAAATAAAGGTTGTGGGATAAAGAATGGAAGCCAATTATGCAATTTCCCCTGAAAAAAGTGGAGATCTTCAATCCCAGCCAGGAGATGGAAACAGAAGATCCACCTTTTCACTGATGCTGGTGGGGGTTTCTTTGTTTGTTCAACCCATTCTGCTGTAGACAGAAGCAAAATCAGGAGGACACAATGATGCAGGTAACTTGTTCCCACTGCAGGCTCAGGCATCATAACCTCTACTAAATAGGTGTCTCTGCTTGCAAAGGATATCAAGCACAATACCTGCACAGAAACTGAGAAGTTTTCACCTCCCAACACCCTGTCACAAAGGCAGGACCAGAACCACCAAACTGACTAAAAAACTAAATTTGTGACAGATTCACTGAAAACCCTGGGCCAAAAGTACAGCTGTTTGTCTGGAGTAAACTGTGCTATGAACATTCAAACCACTCGCACTGAGAGGGGTGAAATAATCCCTGCGAGGAAAAGGAAATAAAAGTGAGGAGGATCACAGTCCTCAATCATGTGGGCAGGCCACACATGCTCCAAGCTCTGCTCAAGAGCTGCAAAACAACTCTGCTGAGTTATTGATGCCGAGCACAAGCAGAAACCAATGCCCTGACACAGCTCTGTCGTCTTCTCCATCCCAGAACGTACCAGTTAACTGGGAGGAAGCAGCTAAGTCTCGGGCACACCAGGGACCATCCACCCGTTTTATTTTGGTTCTTACATGTCAATGGTTTCATTTGGGTACCCTTACACTGAGCCAGTGACTCCACTGGCTAACAGATGTCTTTTGGAGAGACAGCAAACGGTAGTACAACAGAGACATCAGTAATGCAAGCACCTCAGTTTGATTCCTGCCAAGATTTCATGCCTGTCTTCAGACACTGCATACCTAGATCAGCCAGAATTCTGATCACTCAATACAGGTTTCTCTTAAATCATAGAATCATAGAATAGTTAGGGTTGGAAAGGACCTTAAAATCATCAAGTTCCAACCCCCCTGCCATGGGCAGGGACACCTCGCTCTAAACCGTATCACCCAAGGCCTCGTCCAACCTGGCCTTGAACACTGCCAAAGATGGAGCATTCACAACCTCCTTGGGCAACCCATTCCAGTGCCTCACCACCCTAACAGGAAAGAATTTCCTCCTTATATCCAATCTAAACTTCCCCTGTTTAAGTTTTAACCCATTACCCCTTGTCCTATCACTACAGTCCCTAATGAAGAGTCCCTCCCCAGCATCCCTATAGGCCCCCTTCAGATACTGGAAGGCTGCTATGAGGTCTCCACGCAGCCTTCTCTTCTCCAGGCTGAACAGCCCCAACTTTCTCAGCCTATCTTCATATGGGAGGTGCTCCAGTCCCCTGATCATTCTCATGGCCCTCCTCTGGACTTGTTCCAACAGATCCATGTCCTTTTTATGTTGAGGACACCAGAACTGCACACAATACTCCAAGTGAGGTCTCACAAGAGCAGAATAAAGGGGCAGGATCACCTCCTTCGACCTGCTGGTCGCACTCCTTTTGATGCAGCCCAGGATACTTCTACATGCCACAGACCACCTCTTCCTTGACTAACCCCACTGAAACCAGCTCTTGGCTCATCAATCCCTGCTGCCCCATGGCTTTTCCATGCACCTTCCCCAATAGTGAGGCAAATGCTGTAAACATGAACAACGCAACTGGAACTTTTCTCTCACCAGCTTCACCAAGGCCATGAGCTAACTTCACAAGGTTAATCCTCTTCTCCACAGGGTCTCTGAAAGTTACAATTCAGTGTGATTTCCTACAGCAACCCAAGATTCTTTCTAAAGACACTGCTCCCCAGGGTACACCCATCTCCTCATCTCTCCTCCTGGATTCAGTGTCTGCACATGAGCACTACGTGTGAACTGCACACAAGTGTATTTCATACAGGTGCAGCTGTATGTGGCAGTATAAAAAATGTACCCATCCTTCTCCTATCACTGTTCAGCATCATCTCTCATAGAATCATCAAATCACAGAACAGTTTGGGTTGGAAGGGACCTTAAATCTCATCCAGTTGCAACCCCTTTGCCACAGGCAGGGACATCTTCACTAAGACCAGGTTGCTCAAAGCACTGTTCAAACTGGCTTTGACAGTAATGGGGGAGCCACAGCCTCTCAGGGCAACCTGTGCCAGGGCCTCACCACCCTCACGCTGCATCTAGAAAATTATCAGGAGTCACTTCATACTTTCTTCCAGATCACTCCTAGTGTGCGGAGCAGCACTGAACACACCAAAGCATTCCTGTGTTCAGGAAGCTCAGGAGCAGTGAGGAGAGCTCTGCCTGTGTACCCAACCTTTAGCTCATAGAGCTCAGCCTTCTTAAAAACTGTATCAAAGAAGAAAACCAATGTTAAGCCAAGCATTTTACAAAAGTCTAGGCAGAGCTACGCTTTGGAAGCTCACCAAGGAATGAAGCATTGGCAGGCACGATCTTTACTCATTGGCACCTGCACTGCTCCTATTGAATTGACTCCATTATCTAACAGCTAATTCACTCTTCTTACTGTATTGTTTTCTCATGGTTACCCATCTCCAGTTATGTGCCTTCCTCTACAGGCTCTTCTGGAAAGCTAGCACAAGTGCAACATTATCCCAGCCTTTCGCACAGCTTGCTGTAAAACATTTTAAAGGTTAAAACCAGTCAACAAATCCCACCAAACTTTCAAGAAAAGCGGGTTTGATTTGAATATAAGGTGCATGGGTCTTCATGTCATATCAGACCCTTTCTGCCTCTCTGATCGAGTAGCTGTGAGCACTTGAGCCCTTTCTATACAGACCATCTCATTCTCATAACTAGTGCCATAAGGCACCACTCTGGGCACAGTGTGGCAGATCACACTTTGAGCAGTTCCCCACTGCAGCTGCAGAAGGGCTGGAGAGTGGTTGTGGCTGCAGGGTTACAGGAGCCAGCAGCTTCCAACTTAAGTGATGCAGGTCTCAATATAACATATAAACCTCAAAGCAGGGGGTATAAGAGGTGAAGCAACCCCCCCAAAAAACCCTGAAAGTGAGCCGAGGTGCTCATGCCAGAATTGGGATGAAGCCCCAACCAGCAGGGTTGTGTCAAACCTGTCTGCATCCCACGGGAAAGCATAATTTTGGGTGTGTTTCTTTGATAAAAGGTGCTGTTGCCCACAGCTCTGGCAGTTTGCTAACAAACATGCAGCAAGACTGTGGTTACATTGATTCTTGGGTATGAAACTTGTTCTCCTCTGGATGGGAAGGTTTCACCCCTCACTTTTCTCTGCTGCCCCTTTGCTCAGAATCCCTGAATGTTCATTCATCACTTTTTCCAACTGCCTGTTTTGCACCCAGCCTACCTTTTGTTACTTCAAAATGCAATAGCTGCCTAAAAACAGCCCTGGGCACCAGATGTTATTATGCCACTTATTTTATTGCTTTTTTTTTTTAATTGATGAAGGCCATCTCCTCCATTTGACAGGAACACACACCATGTACTCATCAGCCATGCTAGTGGTTCCCATCATCCCACCTGAAAAACAGCACTTCAAGAAGCAGATGCAGTTAAAGATGAGTTCCTGCCTATTCCATATTCATCATTACCCACTATTTCATGTCAGTCCCTTCCATCCCACTTAAATCTGTGCTGTTCCACATGCAGAGCCACTGCAATTCTCCAACACTGCTGACCACCAACTTCTATTAAGGTTACTGCTAACATACCAGTCCTTGTGGAAGTCTCAAAATAGGATTAATCTTTCACAAAATATTATGTGGAGCTCAGCAGGGTGGCAACATGAATAGTTTGTGACTGCTGTGCCTCTTGGTGTCCCCTTAGAGGAAGCTGGGTCAGATCTGCTAGAGCTCAAGCCCCTAACTTGGTTTCTAAAGCTTCTGAACTGAGATGTTCTCCAGCTTTGTGCTCATGAACATCAACCACTCTAGGCTCTAAATAAGCTCAAGCTGTGGTTCTTGGCTTGAAGATGAGAGGTCTGAGGTGCGGATGCACAAACCTTCTCAGTTTCCAGAGGCAGGAATTAAACAGCTGCTTTGGAGTCTCCTGTTCTACCAGTTCTCTGCAGCCAACTATCTTGACAGCTTACTGCAGCATAGGTGGGTGGCATATGCACAGCTACGGCAGGAGGAGAGACAAGAAGGGTATATCCATGTACATCAAGTTCTCCCAGAGACAACTGAGCAAACATTATCCCTTCCACCAGCTCCCCTCCATCACCTTCCCCCATTTAATGCTCAGGGTCCCGCAGCTGCTTTGACCCTCTCCACATACGGCTGTTTCCATTTAATTAGCTAATTGAGAATCTTCCAAAATGAGCCAAATACCACTGAGGTGAATTTCCACTTTCCCCTGGTCTCCCTGACTGCCCTGTTTTCAACCAATATTAACTGCTATGAGCAGCAGGAAGAAGCAAACAAATCCCACTTACAGTTAAATGCAAGGTCAAAACATTTGGCCAGATACTGGCATATTGGTGCAAATGCATTAAAAGAGCAGTTATTTCCTACCTGAGCAATTTCAATGCAAGGGGCACAGCACCTACAACCCCTCCAGGACCTCCTTTGATATTAC